CTAATTGACTGCCCTGCCCTCAAAGATGGCGGCGCCCATAGCCACAAGATGGCAGCGCCCAGCCCCCCAGCCGCCCAGAGCTGCCTGAGGCTCAGGTAACTAGGGCCTGCAGAGGCTTGCGCTGCTGGCAGTGGCAGCAACAGAGGTGTGATGGGGCATCACCTTCCCCTGATTGCCAGGTCGCCTCCTGCCCCTGAGGGCTCCCGGACTGTGAGGGGGGCAGGCTGGGCTGAGGGACCCCCCCTCCTGTGCATGAATTTTCATGCACTGGGCCTCTAGTTAATGAATAATAATAATACAAGAATAAACTGTTTCAGGGACTCACAACTGTGACCCTGCTTTTGCCCCACCCTGTATTGTCATCTCAACCCTCTGGCCATCCCATTCTGGGAGCGCATTTGACAACAGCCCTCCTTATTGAGCTCCTGTCTCTGTGTGAGCCACACCACTGCTGCGGGCATCTGTCTCCCCACAACCCACAGCCACAGCTTCCCCGTTACTTTTCCCGTGAAGTTCAAACTCCTGAACGTGTGCAGAAGGCCTCCCCGGGCTGCCCGCCCACCTCTGCCACATGCCTGGCTCCCCTTCACTTACCTCATTTCCTCCAGCTGGACTGAACCTGGCCCAGCTTCACACGCATGTCCTTCCATCCTCAAGCCACGTAATCCTCTGGTCAACTCCCTCTTCCGTCCAGCTTATCTTTGCATCACCTCCTCCTACATTCTCTCTGCCTGCCCAACCTGTCTGCATAGCTCAGAGGTTCCTTTTCACACCATAACATCTCAAAAAAGACCCAAGAAGGTCATCAACTTTTTTTTAAAATCCTCCCCTCATGGTATGTTAATTGATTTTAGAGTGAGAGAGAAAGAGGGAGAGACGAGAAACATTGATTGGTTGCCTCCGATACCTTCCCCGACCAGGGATTGAACTCACAACCTAGGTATGTGCTCTGATTGGGAATCAAGCCCACAACCAATTGAGTCTCCCAGCTTGGACTGAGGTCATCAACTTTTACTTTTGCTGAGTAAGGACAAAAAATTGAACAATTAAGGGAAAATGCTGTGGCTGCTTACCATCACCTTCCTCCTTTCCTATAGAATAAAAGGCTAATATGCAAATTGTCCGTTCAACCAGGGGGCGGGGCTGGCCAGCCAACTGCCCATGTCACCCCTGCCAGCCCGCCTGATCAGCCCCATCCGTGCACGAATTTGTGCACTGAGCCTCTAGTTATTTCATAAAAGAGAGGATGAAATAGGCGTAAGCTCAGAAAGAAGGACACTTTGGCAACTTTACTTCAACTAGGTGTCCACATCACCTTTTCTGGATGTTTCTGTTTTGGCCTAAGGCCAGTAGACTTTGTTTATGGACCATCCTTGGGGGTGCTAGGACCCCACTGGGAGACTGACAGCTCCTCCTGAGGTTTTTGATTTCTTTTCCCTCGAATAGTGGAGCAATGATTAACTTTCTGGTTGGTGGTTTACAGGGTGTGAAGGAAGGTGTGAGGCCAAGGGAGGGAGTGAGTATGTGCAGAGTGGAAGGTGTTGTGGGTGGGTGGCCTGCGTGTGCCCTTGTCTCTCCCCAACCCTGCCCTTCCCATGAGTGTCTGGCTTTGTGGTTCATCCTTCTCTCCTTGTTCCCTCATCTCTCTGCCACCCAGTCGCCTCCTTTTTCTTTCTTTTTTCTCTTTTAATTCTCAGCCCACTCCTATTTTTCCTCTCTGTACTTCAACCCCCAGGCCCTATCCAGTAGCCCATATCTTAACTTGTCATTATATACCATTTAACAATTTTAAGAAAAAATGTATTATGTTCTCTTTCCCCTAGTTTTATTGAAATACCAGAGGCCCAGTGCATGACATTTGTGCACTCAATGGGGTGGGGCCCTTTCACAGTCCGGGAGCCCTCGGGGGATGTCTGACTGATGGCTTAGGCCTGTGGGGAGTGGGCCTAAGCCACAGTCGGACATCCCTTAGCGCTGCCGTGGAGGTGGGCTGCTGTGCTCGCCAGCCGTCAGCCTGGCTTGTGGCTGAGTGATGCTCCCCCGTGGGAGTGCACTGACCACCAGATGGCAGCTCCTGCATTGAGTGTCTGCCCCCTGGTGGTCAGTGTGCATCATAGCGACTGGCCATTCCGCCCTTTGGTTAATTTGCATATTACCCTTTTATTATATAGAATAATGGACCTATAACATTGTATTATTTGTTAAATGTATATATTGTGAACTGATCACCACAGTAAGTTTACTTAACTTAATCCATCACCACAAGTGGTTACAAATTTTTTTTCTTGTGATGAGAACTTTTACGATCGACTCTCTTAGCAACTCTGGAATATACAATACAGTGTTATTAACTATAGTCACCATGCTGTACATTACATCCCAGAAGTTATTGTGTTCTCTGTTCCTAATTTTGAGAATTGGGCCAGTTTTTAAACAAATATTATTGTGTTCCAGGCCAGAGTTAGGTGCTTTTAGTGTGTAATCTCGGGTGATCTGTGCAGGAGGAAGCCACCCCCTTGCTTAGAAATGAAGAAACAAGGACTAAAAAGAGGTTAAGGGTCTTGACCAAGGTTACACATCCTGTATGAAGAAGGTCTCTGCCATCTTTTATATTGAATTTCTGTATTCCAAAACTCAAGCGAGTAAACCCAAACCGATTTTCAAATTAATGGAAAAAAGTTTCTTGTTTTAGAATCTCATATGAAAAAACCCCCACAACACATATGTGGTCTTCTATTAATCTCATTTATTAGAGTATGGCCATTCATTCATCTATATATATAAAAGGCTAATGTGCAAAGTGTCCTCACGGGAGTCCAGGAGTTCGATTTCTCACTATGATGTGCATGTACCACCAGGGGGTGGCGTGGAACGAAGGAAGGCCCCGGCCGGCAGCTGGAAGGCCCCGATTGGCCCTGATTGCCGGCCAGGCCTAGGGACCCTACCTGTGCAGGAATTTCGTGCACTGGGCCTCTAGTTTTATTATAAAATAATAGTACACAGGGGGCAATGAATCATAGTTCCTTCCCCTCTTTCACTCAATGTGGCAGTGAAGTGAGGCGTTAGGAAATATAAAATACGTGAGGAGAAATAGGAAATACTTTTGCCTAAACAGAAAAGGAATGTGCTCCTCAATGATAATAACTTCCCACAGCCTTCGTGCGTCTTGGTGTCTTTGTAAAACAGGGTAATAGTGCCCGCCTCGTGTGATGCTGCGAGGGCGAAATGGGATGGTAATACAGGCAAATGAGCTATTTGGAACTGGTGTGTAGTTACCCTCAAAATGTTGGTGCTAGACATATTAGTGGTATTTTATTAGTATGCCATTAGCATTATTTTTTTTTTTTTAAATATATTTTATTGACTTTTTTACAGAGAGGAAGGGAGAGAGATAGAGAGTTAGAAACATCGATGAGAGAGAGACATCGATCAGCTGCCTCCTGCACATCTCCCATTGGGGATGTGCCCGCAACCCAGGCACATGCCCTTGACCGGAATCGAACCTGGGACCTTTCAGTCCGCAGGCCGACGCTCTATCCACTGAGCCAAACCGGTTTCGGCATGCCATTAGCATTATTAATCTTATCTTCATTGAGCCCTAATTTCTTCATCTGGAAAATGAAAATGATTATTAATAATGATGCAACAGTTGCTCCACTTTCCGTCTCAGGGGATAAAATGGTCTGAATTAGGGCCCCCATGGTCATCTTGGGAGATGCTTAAAAAGTCTTGTTATGTAAGACAATTTTATTCTGTATTAGAAAACTTTTATTCATTCTGGTAACATTCCTGGGTTATTTGAAATAATACCAAACTAAAACCCCCACTTTGCCCCTGGGAAACTGAGTCACCAAAGGTTAAACGCCCTTCTCTGGACCACATGCCATGATGGGGGTCCGAGCTGAGGGTAGAAACTATACAGGTCTCCCTTTCTCCCTAAAACCTCTCTCTGGGTTTGGGGAGTCTTTTAAAAACCCTGATGTCTGGTCCCATCCCCAAGATTCTGAGGTCATAGGTCAAGGGTGGATCCTAAAAGGCCACAGGTAAGGCTGAGCATGACTGGGTTTGGGAACCAGTGGACTGAATGACCATCCACGGTCAGCCATATTGCCTAGGTAGTGCTGCCCCATCTCCTGGTGTTTGCTTTCATTCTAGCGCCCCCATACCCTCCATCCGTCCTTCAGTCACTTTCTGCTGTGATTCTGTCCTTTGCTGGGCTCAGCTGGGAGGAACACAAAGCAATGAGAATAAGGGTCCTTCCCATTTATTCTTGGTTGATTTGGAGCTCACTTGCTGTGTGACCTTGGACAAGTTGCTCTCCCTCTCTGGGCCACTGTTTTCTCTCTGCACAATGGGAAGGAGGGGTGAACATGCTCGTCTGTCGTGTTCTCTCCCGGGGATGGCACACTCACCTCCACCTCTTACTAGTTATTTTGCTCCTGGCTCTGGGAGGCTGCACATCTTTGTGTAAACCATTCCTCTGGTGTTTTTAACTCCTTGCTGGAGAAATGATAAACTGGAAAGAAAATACTTTTAAATTTCAGAGCACTCTACACATTCTACCCAGTCCTGTTTCAGTTCGTGGTCCCTTGGGCCCACGCTTGCTGCTGAGCCTGGCCTCAGGTCACACGCGCACTTTGATCCTTGGCCCTCTGCTGCCCGGGAGGTTTCTGCAGAAACACTGTTCCCATGCAGGGGATGGGCCTCGTGAGGGGCCTGGGTCCCTGCCGCTTCTCGAGCAAAGTGTACTAAGTCCACCCAGGAGGAAGAGAACTTGTTGTTTATGTTAAATTCTTTATATATTTATATATATATATTTTTTTACTTCAGAGAGGAAGGTGACCTCCTGGTTCATAGGTTGCCGCTTAACGACTGAGCCACGCCGCCTCGGCAGCATGATGCCCTTTTAAATAACATTGTGATGAACTTTATTCGGCTTCTGCAGCCCATCAGACAGGACTTCAGGGTCCATGAGTCAATAATACTTCTTCTATCCACAGAACCCACGAGTTTTTCAACTGCGACCACGGTGGAGGTGTCTTCCATGAAGGTGAGTTCATGTTCTTATCAAAGGGTCAACACCTACCGGTTAGCGATGTGGCTGGCACCAGACAGAATGCAGTTTAAGTCCAGCTCTGCCACTTACTGGCAGTGTGGCTGTGGGCAAACTGTGTCCTTTTGAAGGCTCTGTAAGACGGGGCAGCAGCAGTTCTCGATCCGGGGCACTTATGAAGCGTAGAGCAGCGTGGGGCTGGCTCACAACGCTGCGCTGCCCCGTCAGTGGATGCAGTCTCACCCTGAGCTTCTGGACACCATGGGAGGCTCAGCGAATGAAGATCCTCTGGCTGGGACTCCGGTTCAGTTCCTCTGAGCCCTTCCCTGTGGACTCCCGGTGTCATAATGATCTGGAAAGAGGATTACCGCCGAAGCCGCTTAAACAAATCCTCGAGTAATCCAATTTCCCACCCCACGGCAGCTCCTCCGTGGTCCCCAGTTCCCACATGCTCAGCGGGGAGGCTCCACGCTCCCGGAGCTGGGCAGCACCTCACCCATCATCCGTGGCGGACTGTCCAGGACCAGCAACTCCGGGGTGAAGTCCAGGCCCTTGGGCCAGAGCGCTCCCAGCACAGGGTGTCGGGGCACCGACTGACCGAGAGCTGCCAAGGCCCCAGGCCCCGAGCCTTGCGTTGGCCATCTCATTGATCCTGATGTGAACTGAGATTCAGGGAGAACGCTGACACCCACCTGAGCTGAGAAATCTGCCCGCGGTCTCAGAGCTAGTTGTGGTCACAGAGCCAGGATTCCGGCCTGTGATTTTCCTCGTCAGGGATGGTACCTGTGCCCTTGAACCAGACCCATAGGACAGCGTAAGCTCTTGGTAGAGTGGCAGATGGGAAGCAATCCCCACCCTGAGTAGGTGAGGTGTAGATGCAGATAATGCAGATAATCTTACAGATGTTGAAAGTGACAGGTCAAAATTGGAGAGGTACATGAGATAAAGGAAAGGCGTGGTCGGGGGTCGGGGGGCGGGGAGGGGGTTGAGGAGGTGCCTGAGCTGGGCCCAGAATGAAGGTGGAATCCACAGACACGGGCTTACAGTGCGGAATGTCTTTTACAGGCACCTACTACCAACGGAGACGATGACAACACCTCCTCGAACTATCCTGCCAATACGACAAGCTTCCCAGGTGAGCCCTGGATCGTTGTGTGTTCCTGTGGCCTAAGGGGCACCGAAGGCTTGTAACTCCGTAGAAAGTGCTTTCTTATTTGGAAATGTCGGCAGGGGGCCAGTGTGCTTCATGGAAAAGACCAGTGGCAGAAACATTCTTTTATGACCTTGTCTGTCCAACTTGGATATGGTTAGCTAAGGTATTACGAGGGGATCACAAGAATAATGAGACAGATCAGCGAACCATTTCACAGTTGGCACTTACCCAGCTTGGAGTGGGGTCATAGCTCAAAGGAAGTGTCCTCATCTCATCTGAGACCCAAAGGCCGGGGAGGACTGGAGAGAAAAGGGGTGCAGGGAAGGTGGGAAGCGTGTTCTGGGGGAGATGTGAGACCATGTGCGGAGAGCCCCAGGGCGGGGGTGGGAGCGGGGAACATGGCATGTGGAAGAGCGAATGAAGATCCTATGGCTGGGGCTTGAATGCCAAGTGGGGAGACAGGCAAGAGATGACGCCCCATGGAGAACGCTGCACCCAAACACTTGATTTAAAGCACCTGGGGCTCTCTGGCATCGTCCTCAATGGAGCTGCCGTCGATGAGGTCCCCAAAGCTTTCTGCTTCTTGCCCCCATCTGTGCCTTATGGGGGCAGGCTGGGCACCCCTAGAAAAGCCAGTCTGAGGGGCGTGGGTGCTCAGAAGCTCTGAGCTTGAGGTGTATGTCTTGCCAAGTGGCAGAGTCCCAGGGTTTGTCAGACTCTGCTGGGAGTGGTTCTTCTCGCGTGGCTAAAACACTGGCCAGAGGCCTGCTGGTTAGCAGAGCTGTTTCCTCCTCCAGGGTGAGGTTCCTTGGAGACTTTTGATGGCACCAGCTGAGTGGCTTATTGTTTTCTCTTCCTTCTGCGCCTCCTCCTCTTCTCCCCTCTAGTGCAAGAGCCCCCAGTCCCCCTGTACACATTCCTGGTGGCTGGAGGGAGCCTGGCCTTCGGAACGCTCCTCTGCGTTGGCATTGTCCTGAGGTGAGCGGGGTCCCGGGGGGTGGCATATTTCTTACCTGACTAGCTTCGCCTGTGCTGGGGCGGGGGCAGTGAGTGGGAGAGCCACACATGGCTCAAGATGTATTTCAGAGGTGGGATCGATAAGACTCGACGACAGTAGATGAGGAGAAGGAAGGAGACGGAGGAGTCCAGGCTGACCCTCATGTTTCTGGCTTTGGCAACTGGGCAGATTAGGTGATGGTGGTGGTGGTGGTGGTGGGGGGGGGTCATGCATTTAAAATTGGAAACACTGGAGGGAGAATAACGGAGTGAAAAACGATGATGCTGGTTTGGGACCATTGAGTCTGAGGTGCCTGTGAGAGCCCCAGGTGGACGTATTGGGTAGACAGTTCTGATCGTAGCTGCGTGCAGATGTGCAGATGGTAGTCGGAGCCATGTCAGAGGAATAAGGACAGTGACAGTGCCCTGTGGACCCCAGGGTCCTGACACGGGAAAGTGTAGAGGAGGAGGAGTGAGAAGAAGGGCCTGAGAGGGAGGAGCACCGGGAAAACCCGCTGTGGGAACCAGAGGAGGGTGGGAGGCACCGAAGAAAGCTTCAGGCTCTGGGATTGCAGGTGAACACGACCTCCTCCCCCTGAGCCCCATGCTAAGGTGACTGAAGTAGCACGTGAGGAACATCAGTATGTACCCAGGCAATCTCGGGCGCCCAGTCAGACCTCCGGGGGCTAGTCCGTGTCTCAAAACAAGCAAACCTAGCCCAGCCAGCTTGGCTCAGTGAGTGAGCGTCGACCTCTGAACCAGGAGGTCACAGTTCAATTCCCGGTCAGGGCACGTGCCCGGCTTGTGGGCTTGATCCCCAGGGGGGACATGCCAGGAGGCAGCTGATTGATGATGCTCTCATCATTGATGTTTCTCTCTTTCTCTTTCTCTCCCTTCCTTTCTCTGAAATCAATAAAAATATATTTAAAACCAAAACCAAAACACAAGCAAACCTAGCAGGTCACCTTTAAATGCTCGGTGCCAGCGCTGTCCTCTGGCCATGGTTAGGAGACAGGCCGAACGGGCACCCTGGCCGCTGTAGCACCATGCCCACCCATCCCCGTCTCTCTCTCTTTGGTCACTGGTTTTGCAGTTCCCTCCCACGCTTGCAGAAAAATCAGCTAACAGTGCTGTCAGTGACGGCGATAAAGACGGCTTCCCGTGTTCACGGTTTCACTGCAGGAAGTTGTGCTCCTGCCTGTGCTGAGGCCCTACAAGGCGCCAGGCTGTGCCCTGGCTTGGATGGTGGTTAATTACAGTGATGATGCGACGGAGGGGAAACTTCTCTGTCCTCCTTTCTCTCACTTTGCGTGTGACTTTGAGGAGACGCCAGTTGGTGGTTGTGGGAGATGGTGGCTCATTGGGTCCTCACAGCGACCCTGAAATAGCTTGACTGTAGGTGGTCTGGGTTGGAAGGTGAGCAAGGTGACAACTCAGTGTGTTCGGGATTGTTTCCACTTTGATTTTCCAGTGAAGTGGTAAGCAAATTGGCCGAAGGGTGCGCAGAAGAGCAAGTTCCGAATGAGTGGAGGTAGCTCCTTGGAGAAGCTTGAGAACTCACTGTCTTTTAATTTTAGGCCAGAGAGAGAGGCTATCCCAGCAGTCAGGGGTCTTCTACAGCCTTCTAAGGGATTCCTTGCCCTCAGGCACATACTTCTGTGTTCCGTTTCTATATCATTAGAGCTTCCACAGGCCGTTCTCTTAACCTATCACAGACCCCATCGAGCAGCGGTTCTCAACCTGTGGGTCGCGACCCCTTTGGCGGTCGAACGACCCTTTCACAGGGGTCGCCTAAGACCATCCTGCATATCAGATATTGACATGACGAGTCATAACAGTAGCAACATGTCAGTTGTGAAGTAGCAACGAAAATAATTTTATGGTTGGGGTCACAACATGAGGAGCTGTATTTGAAGGGCCAGAAGGTTGAGAACCACTGCCATAGAGTAAATATCATGATTTCCACTTGACAGGTGAAGCGATTAAAACCGAGAGGTGGAGTGATCACAGCCAGCAATGGCAAGGCCAAGGTTTAAACCCAAAGCTCTTGCTCTTTGGATAGGGTATTGGAGGTCATTTAGTCAAATTCTTTAATTTTACATCTGAGGAAACAGCCCCAAGAGGTGAGCTGACTTGTCTAAGGACACAGTTTGTTATTAGCAGAGCCAGGATTAGAACCCACATCCTGCGAGTCCCAGCCAACCACGCTAGCCAGCTGTCAGCTAAGCGGTGGACCCAGTTGGTCCCATCAGCCCACCATTGGCTCCATTTACAAGCAGTGCCATCCTGGTGGGCTGTTGATCACTGACAGGGAGCGTTCGGCTGGGAACCGGCCACAGCGCGCATCGCAGACCCAGTTTGCTAATGTGCTGACGGTGCTTGTACACTAGCTGGTTGCTACACAACCAGGGCCCCTGGACGGCTCAGTATCCCTGTGCTGGAAACGTATCAGTAATTTATTTCCTAGCCTGGCGAGCTTCCATTCTCGCCCGTATAAGGCAAACTTATTTGAAAAGAGGCCAGTTATTTCAAGTGATGAAAACTCCTCTGGTCTCCAAGTCCCTCGTGTCAGAGTTGCCAAAATGGCCGAGGCCCAGGACCGTTGGGGTGGCCCCATTACAACAGGGAGGATGTGAGAGGCAGGTTGAAGTACATACTTACCGTCTGGGGTACCCTATTTTTCTTTTTAACACACTTATTTGGCATTTCAGGCAAAGTCTTTTCCTAAATATTTTCCACGAATATCAGTGATAATTTTTAAGACTTCACGTGTGCCATCCGGAAAGATGGGCCATCTTCTTAAGTGGATGTCATGCCTTACAGGGCCCAGTTCTCCCCCCCCACCCCCACCCCCCCGCTTTCCTCTCTTCATCGTATGCCGCGCTGCGCTGGGGATTCTCCTAGCAGAGAATTCTTTCCCGGCACACTTATCTAGAATGGGCCGGCGCTGTTAGGTGAGGACTTCCTATGTGTATATGCCAAGGATTCAGAGAATTTTGCATTGAATGTAGTCTCACTCCGATATTTAAAAATCACAGACTCTCCCACCTTCATGGCAGGGCCAGAGGGACTCTCAGGGCATCCCGGGCGGTGGGAGGGGCTGGGTGCTGTGGGTACCCTCGGGGCCCTGGCGGGTGGGGTCACTTCCTCTCCCTGAGTCTTGGTTTCTCATTTTCTAAGAAGAGTGAGAGTTATTATGAATGTTCTAAGACCTTTCAGCTGGAGAACCTTTTCTTGAAGCAAACATTCTGACGCTCAAAGACGTCACCTCGATAGAAGGCAGAGGCTGAGGTGCGAGTGGCGTCTGACAGCAGGGCCATGTCAGGTGTGGGCACCCTCAGACTGGCTGTTACTAAAGCCCCTTTGAGCGCAGTGATTTTTAGAAAGTGTCTCATTCACGCCTCCAAATATTTCAGAAGAAGGAAAGCCCACTTTTCTCAGTTACGCATTCGGTTGCTGAGGATGCAGACTGCTTTTTGTATTGGTTAACACGTTAAGCGCCTAGGCAGTCACCGGTGACTGACACTGTACTTTCCGTCCGGAAGGACAAAACAGGCCGGGCGCTTAACGTGTTAAATAACGTCAAGAGAGATTTTAAAACATTGTGATATATGCTTATTTGCTAAATACTGGCAATTTGCTAAATATTGACAAACAGAAAGAAGGAAAAAATCTACATTATGCAAAGACAGCCACTATTAATTTTTTTTTTTAGTTCTTTCCTTTTATCGGAAATACACTCATTATATAGAAATACAATTTGTTTATCCATTAACCGCTGTTAATTTTTATTTTATTTTAAAAATGTATATCTTTATTGATTTCAGAGAGGAAGGGACAGGGAGAGAGAGAGGGATAGAAACATCAATGACGAGAGAGAATTATTGATCAGCTGCCTCCTGCACACCCACTACTGGGGATCGAGCCCGCAACCCAGACTTGTGCCCTGACCATGAATCAAACCGTGACCTTTTGGTTCATAGGTCGATGCTCAACCATGGAGCCACACTGGCCAGGAAGCACTGTTCATTTTTTAAATGTGAACGTGCTAGAAGTCTAACAAACCAACAGAAAAGTGCACACGTCATAACTGGACATGAGTTATCCCAAGGTGAACACACCCGTGCAATCAGTACCCCAATCAAGAACACTTCATAGGGAATGAATTTCCTCTGCGTCTTTTTCCTCTGCATAATGTCTCGTTTGGCTTTTCTGTGGCCTTGCTTTTTCTGTATCTGTCACTCTGATTCCTGCCTTTTAAATTCAGGATTAATTATAGCGGAAGCGTTTGTCACCTTATTGCACATTCTTTGTGAGCCTCCCTTCTTTAGCTGCAGACGCCTCCGTCAGGGACACGTACCCGCGTTCCCTTAGTCAGCCTCCTCCCATGGGGCACTGGGGTGGTGGTTTTGCTTCGATGAAAAGCAGTGTGGACAACCTTTGTGCGTAAAGTGTTGTCCATAGCTAGGCTGTTTCCTTCAGGCGCGTTCCCAGAAGTGGAATTCCTGGGCCAGAGCGTCCGAATACTTTGGAATCCGAGCGTGATGATTTTGTCCTCCGTCTTCTCAGACAGGCAGAGAATTCTGTCCAAGGACCCGGCACAGCTCCAGTGAGATCCTCCCGCGCTCCGTGCTGCCTAGGGCCTGCCTGGTGGAGCCCTCAGGAATATTCTATAGCTTGCTTATTCCATTGGAAAAAAGGCTAAGAGCCAGTGCAGATTTGGAGCCAACTATCAATTATTTATCACAACAAGGACAGGAATAGCCTGTCGATATAAAGAGAAACCCAAGGAAAATCTCCAAGCCTTGTTTTTTTATTTTATTTTATTTTTATTTATTTATTTTAAAAATATATTTTATTGATTTTTAAAAAAATATGTTTTATTGAGAGAAACAGAAACATCAATGATGAGAGAGGGTCATTGATTGGCTGCCTCCTGCTGGCCCCCTACTGGGGAATGAGCCCACAATCTGAGCATCTGCCTGACTGGGAATTGAACTATGACCTCCTGGTTCATAGGTCAGTGCTCAGCCATTGAGCCATGCTGGCTGGGTTTTGATAACAGCCATCCTAATGGGTGTGAAGTGGTATCTTACTGTGGTTTTGATTTGCATTTCCCAGTGACTAACAATGTTGAGCATCTTTTCATGTGTCTGTTGACTATATGTATATCTTCTTTGGATAAATTCCTTATTCAGATCCTGTACCCACTTTTTAATTAGATTGTTTGTTGTGTTTTATTAGCTCTCGGCATATTCTGGATATTAATCACTCATCAGATACATGACTTGCAAAAAATAATTTTTCACTCTCTTGGTAATGTCTTTTGACATGTATATGTTTTCTTTTACATTTTTAAAAATTTTTTAGAGAAAAGAGAGGAAGGGGGAGAGAAACATCAAATTATTGTTTCACTTATTTATGCATTTATTAGTTGCTTCTTGTATGTGCCCTGTCTGAGGATTGAACATGCAACCTTGGCTTATTGGGATGATGCTCTAAACAACTGAGCGACC